CTTCTGGAAGTTCCCTTCCTGCGAGAAGTGAGATTAGAGGGAACCTGCTCAGTAGTGGCACCCGCCCTATGGAACGCCCTCCCATCAGATGTCAAGGAAATAACTATGTGACTTTTAGAAGACATCTGAAGGCAGCCCTGATTAGGGAAGTTTTTAATGACTGGTGTTTTAATGTATTTCTAATAATCTGTTTGGAGCTGCCCAGAGTGGCTGGGCTGGGAAGATCTGGCCAAATGGGCAGTGTATAAATGGTAGATGATGATGATGATGATGATTGAAAACCCTCCCGAGGTACCACTGTATATAGCATAAGTTCCACTAAACCTTTCCTGTGAATATAAACCTCTCAAACTGGGAATTATAAGGCATCCTTTGCAAAATAACAATCTACAGCCTTTTAAACTCTGTATCGGAGGGTTATTGTTTTTGTTTGCTATTATGATATATATTTTTCTGTTTTTATATTGTAAACCACCCTGTGATCTTTGGATTAAGGGTGGCACAGAAATTTTATAAATACATAAATAAAATAAATCTCCCCAATGGGATCAGGTTTGCCTCAATGGTGGGATGTTTTCACCACCCACTGAAGACATACCCGTTGACCCATACAGTGGTACCTCGGGTTAAGAACTTAATTCGTTCTGGAGGTCTGTTCTTAACCTGAAACTGTTCTTAACCTGAGACACCACTTTAGCTAATGAGGTCTCCCACTGCTGCCGCACTGCCCCTGCACGATTTCTGTTCTCATCCTGAAGCAAAGTTCTTAACCCGAGGTAATATTTCTGGGTTAGCGGAGTCTGTAACCTGAAGCGTATGTAACCTGAAGCGTATGTAACCCGAAGTACCACTGTACTTTCTCCTAATATTTGCTATTCTGATGATTTTGCAAATTTGGAGGATGTAGTATTAAATTAAGTCAGAGTAGACCTATTGACAATAATGGACCTAACTTAGCAATGTATGTTATTTTCAGTGAGTTTACTCTGAGTAAAACCTAGTTGACTGCTGCCCTGGGTGACTATTTTTATTGACTATAGTTTTGTTTCATTACTGTGTGAGCCACTTTGATACTTCTTTCTGTAGATGAAAAACAGTACAGAAATACAAATACACAAAATTGGAAATGAAGTGGATCCAAAGGTCCAGGAATGCAACTGTGATCACAGGTACCATTGACTTCCCTTGCCCATTGAGTTCAGCGAGACTTACTACCAAGTAAATGTGCACAGAATTGTCTCTATCACACACTCATCCACATATCCTACCCTTCCTCTCGAAAAAGCCCATGGAGGCAAATAACAAGTAATAAAATATCTTTAAAACAATACCAGTACAGATTGATACTGGGTAAAAGCTCAAGTTATAAAGCTTGTTGAAAGAGGAAGGTCTTCAGCAGCTAATATGTGGTGCGATGCCTAAAAGGAGGTAAGTAGAATCATTGAATCATAGAGCTGGAAGGGACCCTGACCATTATCTAGTCCAACCTCCTGTGATGCAGGAATATGCAGCTGTCCCATAGAATCATGGAACTGTAGAGTTGGAAGGGACCATGAGGGTCATCTAGTCCAACACACTGAAATGCAGGAATCCTTTGCCCAACGTGGGGCTTGAACCCACAACCCTGACGTTAAGAGTCTTGTGCTCTACTGACCGAGCTATCCAATCGAACCTGCAACCTTGACATTATCAGCACCACATTCCAACCAAGTGGGCCATCCAAGTCAAGGTTCACTTAACTCACAGAATCACAATTCCATTTTGCTCTCCTTCTGACTACAGTGGTACCTCTGGTTGGGAACAGGATCCGTTCTGGAGGCCCGTTCGCAACATGAAAAGAGCACAACCTGAAGCGCTGTATCTGCACAGGTGCGCGGCGTGATTTGGCGCTTGTGCGCATGCGCAAAGCGCAATTTAGCGCTTCTGCGCATGCGGCGAAACCCAGAAGTAACCGTTTCCGGTACTTCCAGGTCGCCGCAGGATGTAACCTGAAAGAACGTAACATGAAGCAAACGTAACATGAGGTATGACTGTATTCACAATGATTAGAAATACAGTGGTACCTTGGTTCTCAAACTTCATCCTATTCCAGGAGTCCATTCAACTCCCGAAACCATTCGAAAACCAAGGCGTGGCTTCCGATTGGCTGCAGGAGCTTCCTGCACTCAAGCGGAAGCCGCGTCGTACCTTCGGCTTCCGAAAAACGTTCGCAAACTGGAACACTCACTTCCGAGTTTGCGGCGTTTGGGAGCTGATTTGTTTGGGAGCCAAGAAGTTCGAGAACCAAGGTACCACTGGATGGGGGTAACAACACTTCTGTAACTCTCCCTGCTTAAAATAAAAAAGCAAGGAATGGCGTACTAGGTGTGATCAACCATTACACACACACACAAACACACACACCCCTGTGTGTATTCTCCACTGCTTAGCATTCATTCCTTGCTCTGCTCATCAAGGAGCGAAACGCTACCACACTTCATAGAAATTTCAATGTTTTGCCCAGCAAAATGTAAATAAGCCCAACCTAAACTCTTGTAAAATCATGAAATGCCGCTGGCAGTTTTATCAAAGTGTGTAGACGTGTACAGAGCCTTTGAAGAAATGAAACTGCCGTTTAGCAAGTGTGATTTATAAGCAACACTGATTTTAGCTGGGAGATAACACGGCTGTCTAATCATTAGTAGTCAGACAACAGCCATGTGAACACATCAATTATGGGCCAATGCCAAAAGCCCTTGAGATCCTGGAGATTAACAGCCAATCCTCTGTTTTACAAGTTCACATCAAAAAGAATATTAATAAGAGGAGGGGCAATGTGAAAGCCTGTCAGACGGATGCAGCCACCACAACAAGGCATTCCTCCCCTCTTGCTGTGCTTCGAACTGGCCCATGAAAATAGCTGGCATCAGCTCCTATGCGGGGATCTGCCAATTTTCAGAAAATGTTTTCATTAACGTATGGGAAGTTGTAAAAGGCTGCAGCAGCTCTGCCTTGTGTATTAGCAACAGCAATGCCTTTTGTGCCTCTCGCTTTAAAGCACAACAATTACACAAGATTAGTTCTTATTAAACCCTCTGGAAAATAAAAGCCCAGCACAAATATGAGAAATGTCACCCTATCCTTTTCAGACAAAAATCAGGAGGCTTTGCAATCATCATAAATTGAGTGGTCTCTTAAGCATGCATTTTACAGTATTGGCAAGTGAACTGAAATGACCCAATAAAAACGACCCGGTTTGAAAGTCTAGGGTCAGAAATATATCAAGGTGCCAGCATCATTTTTAAACCTCGACATCAAATATATTAGATGCTAGCTAGCTGTTCACTTGAACTTAGGACTTGAATAAACCTAAGGGTCATATTGTCAGCATTGTATTAAAACTATAGTACTGTATTGGCCTGAATATAAGCCACACTTTTTTTTTCCAAATTCCGACCATGAAAAGTTAAAGCACGGCTTAAATTTGCGACCTTACAAAAATTGGCTTTTACGATATCGCTGCTGAAACAGACATACGGTAAAACGGAATGGGTGTGAGAGCCTGAGGAATTTTAAGGGAGCGGCTTATATTCGGGTATTGTCTTTTTTCTCCTCCCCCTCCCTGAATTTTAAAGATGTGGCTTATTTGCGGGGGCGGCTTATATTTGGGCCAATATGCTTGTATTGTCATGTCTGGAATTCATTTTAATCGACTCGCAGTATACTTTTTACTATTGACGCAAATCACCTTGGGACCTTTAGTGAAAATCAGCTTATAAATGTCTAGGAAATATATAAAACAAATAAGTATTTCAAATTACACGGTTGCATTTTCCCAACCCCCATTCACTTCCACATCCTTTTGGGACACAAGTATGGCCAGATTTATTTGATTGTTCGCAATAATCCTTTGACTATACTAATCTTCCCAAATGTCATGGTTTTGAAGGGTTCGCCTATAAGATATCATCTCTTTTTAGTTGGTAACTGATATTAAAATACAGCCAGAAGCCTCCCATGCTTATGGTTTGGGAAATCCTCATAACAGTGTTGGCCAACATTGTGCTTGCCAGATAATCTGGACCTCATCTCCCATCACCCCCGACTATTGGCCATGCTGTCTGAATTTGGTGAGAGGTATAGATGTTCACGGGACACGGGTGGCGCTGTGGGTTAAACCACAGAGCCTAGGACTTGCCAATCAGAAGGTTGGCGGTTCGAATCCCCACGACGGAGTGAGCTCCCGTTGCTCGGTCCCTGCTCCTGCCCACCTAGCAGTTCGAAAGCACCTCAGAGTGCAAGTAGATAAATAGTTACCGCTCCGGCGGGAAGGTAAACGGCGTTTCCGTGCGCTGCTCTGGTTCGCCAGATGCGGCTTAGTCATGCTGGCCACATGACCCGGAAGCTGTACACCGGCTCCCTCGGCCAATAAAGCGAGATGAGTGCCGCAACCCCAGAGTCGGTCACGACTGGACCTAATGGTCGGGGGTTCTTTACTATAGATGTTCACAGCATCTTACAAGCTTTGCTTCCTCTCCAGTAGCCCATATGAATATGCCTGACATAAAATATTGTCAGTAACACTAGCCCTTTGCTTGTCGTCATCTGATGCTCTAGTCATCTCCAAGTTCCCAGTGTGCACCATTCTTGTGACCTCTGTTTGGGCACCCTCAGTACTGGGGTGGGTGCAGAATGGAGAGGACCAGAACACTAGATCAGGCATCCCCAGACTCGGCCCTCCAGATGTTTTGGGACTACAACTACCATCTTCCCTAGCTAACAGGACCAGTGGTCAGGGATGATGGGAAGCGTAGTCCCAAAACATCTGGAGGGTCGAGTTTGGGGGTGCCTGCACTAGATAAATGTAAGTGAGGACGAATACCTCCCATTACCAGAAATGGCTGGGCACATTGCTCTGCAAGTTTGGCACAGGGACAGCATAGTCAGGTGGGGAAAATTATGGAAGGAATACAAGCCAGTGAGGTATCCCTCAGTGAGGATATAATTATATGCACAAAGGGTTCCACGTAGCTCAGTTGGCAGAGCACGAGCCTCTTAATCTCAGGGTCCTGGGTTCAAGCCCCACATTGGGCAAAAAAGTTTCCTGCAATTGGGGGTGGGGTTTGGACCCTCCTGGTCCCTTCCAACTCTACGATTCTATGAAAAGCGAAAGACTGTGCCAACAGAAACGGAATTGTGACCACGATTCCTCTTCAAAAGCGTCGCTTTCTAAATAAATTTTATTTTGTACTTAACCTAACTTTGCCGTTAATGTGTCTCATACAGGAAAATAAACCACATGTTAGAAACTGTGGGGGAAATCTATGTTAAATCCATCATTTCTTGCTCTGTAACTGAGTAGCTATGCAACTGTCATCGCATGGCACTTCAGCTGTGCTGAAGCGACGCTGACTAAACTAAAGGCCTCTTTCTGCACTTACCATTTATAGCGGTATAGTTGCGGTTTGGTACCGAGTTTCCAAGAGCCAATTTGCGGGTGATTGTCTGCACTTTTGGTCCCATACTGCTGTTATTAGAGAGTGAGTGTGAGGTTTTCTTTCCACACTGAGGGTGGGGTGTGCCTGAATTAAGAAAGTTTCTGTGGTTTTAGTCCCATCCTTATATACCATCATATTCCTCCAGCCAGTAAGTGTCATGGGTCATGAGCTTGCATATACAAATAGCCCTTTTGAAGCTTGTGTGTGCATGTTTAATGCCTAGTATTCTGAAATTCTATTTTTTAAAAATTAATTTTTATTGCATTTTAAGATTTATCATAATCACAATTTCCATACATAATTCAATAAACTCAAACCTTGCTCTATTCGAGCATCGACTTCCTCCCACCCCTTTTTCTGACTTCCATACATATTTACTTTATTCTTAGCATTTCTATAGCAACTTTTTTACCTGCTCTCTTGTTTTTGAATTCACCTCTTTAAATGTAAATCAGTTCCTTATATTCTCTTTACAAAACATTTCAACTCAAAGCTACAAACGTTTTCAAATGTTTACACTGTTCTTTCAAATATACTATAAATTTGCTCCAGTCCTTTTGAAACAGTTTAGTATTCTGAAATTCTAATCTTGTGGGAGTAGGGCAGAGGCCAGCAAACTTTTTCAGCAGGGGGCCGGTCCACTGACCCTCAGACCTTGTGGGGGGCCGGACTATATTTTGGAGGAAAAAATTATGCAAGAGAACCACAAGCCCCAGTGGCTGCTTACCTGTGTCTTTCGAGCGGCAGGGGCTGGCGGCGATGGGACTATGAGCATCGCGCAAAAGGGCTCCAGAGAGGGGCTGCTTAAAATGGCGGCCGCTCAAGCACTGCTGCTGTTGCTGGCACCAACAAAGCCCAGCCCCCTTCCTCCTCTAGGCAGGGCAGGAAGAAGCCAGGAGGAGGGAGGGAGGAGGCGGCAGTGGCGCCGTGTGAGGGAGAACGTGCGCCCTGGCGATCCATACGGCGATTTCTAGACCATCCACGGGCCAGATCCAGAAGGCAATTTTGCCTGATCCGGCCCACAGGCCTCAGTTTGGCTACCCATGGAGTAGGGAGATTAGAAGGTGAATTTACAAGCCTTGCATGAGCAATTGGTGAAGCTGGTTGTTGTGCTAAAACTGTGCCTGCTGCTAATGACTACTGCAATGGACAGTGATTCAATTCCATTGTCTCTTGTCTTCTATATCTCACAAACTGAAAGCTCAGAGGGAAGTGGAGGAAGCTATTAATTATTATTACTGTTAATTGAATTTATATACCGCCCCAAACCCAGAGGTCTCAGGGCGGTTCACAGAACAAAATCAAAATATAAAACCACAAAATAATCAAAATAAAAGTAACAACGCATTAAGCCCCTCCCCAAACCCCATGTTTTAAAAGAGCATTGGGAAAGTTAGATGTTTCCCAAACCATGGGCACTAACTCTCAGCTCCTCCACACATTAATCTGGACAATGTTTGTACACACATGCCACAAATGAAAATACAGTGGTAACTCGGGTTAAGAACTTAATTCGTTCTGGAGGTCCATTCTTGACCTGAAACTCTTCTTAACCTGAGGTACCACTTTAGGTAATGGGGCCTCCCGCTGCCGCCACGCGATTTCTGTTCTCATCCTGAAGCAAAGTTCTTAACCTGAGGTATTATTTCTGGATTAGCGGAGTCTGTAACCTGAAGCGTCCTTTACAGATCTTTCGCAAATAAATATTTTTTAAAACCCAGCCACTATACCACTATGAAATGTAATGGCAGAAATTGCCTAAGCTGAGAATTCAGCTCCCTCAACTAGAAAGCAATTTTGTGCTCACTGAGCATTTGAAGACAGTTGCTTTTTTACCTTGTATTCCTTGGGAAGAAACAAGTCACAATCTTAGTGCTAGGGTGTTTATTTATCCTCAAGTGACAGAAGAAAATAATTATACTATCAGGGTGGTAAAGTCAATGTTAATTCAAGATTCTGTGGTTGCTAGTTTAGGTGTGTAATCATGGAGCAGAAACTTAACTTTGGGAGGTAGCAATTCTCAATGAGTCCCCCCCCCCCCCCAATTATACTCCATCATTTGCTATCTGAAGTCACTCACAGATCACTGAGTCCTGGCTATTTTGAACTCCATTAGCCTACCCAAGGTTGTTAAGTAGCAATTACATAAGCGAGCACCAAGAATTTCTCCCGTGCGCTTGTTTGCAGGAGGGTAGTGCAGGAATTAAACAAAATAATCAATCCGCTAAAAACCACTCTATAACGCTTCCTAATAATGATATGTTAATGAAATATATTGGCTCAAATTACAGGGGTCATATGCAGCTGTTGAACTCAATTTCCAAGGCTATCTATGTCACCACATTTCTGGTTTATGAAGGTTTTCAGTACAAGGTGATGAACACTAAACGCTAATGAAAGTAATCATCAATGACAAGATTGCAGCTTTGTATACTGAAGCAGAACAAAACAATGCAAGCTGAATTCTTTTGAAGGCTAAAAGGATCTGCATTATGGCGTGGCATGAAAGCATAGTCACATTGGAAGAGCAATTCTATACATGTCTATTCAAAAGCAAGTCATGCTGAGTTCAATAGGGCTTATTTCAAGATAAGTGTGCATAGCCTTAGTACACTACTGCTGCTCTATATGAAAAAGCATATTCCATTCTTAATCCTACTATCATGATCCATTTTATGTTAATACAAACATCTTGTCAATGCTGAATGCTAACAGCTTTTACATCACCAGCTTGGTGGTTGGAAGGGAAAGGAACGCTTGTGGAGCAGAACCCCATAAATACGTTTTGATCACACACTACAGCCATGAAAACCTTAAAAAGTTTGCAGAATAATCCTGGACAACATACATTGCACATTCAGTCTTCAGAGTAAATCCTGGTGCTGTGAACAAGCATAAAGCTTGATCTAGCAGACAAATTTCACAATTCAAATTATGACTAACTAATATTATCAAGAAGGCAGCCCAAGCTAATTATTCTAGTTCCCACCAACATCTCAATCCTACAAATTTACAGCACCCAGATCTGCATAGCATAATGAAAGGTGGTCTACAGGCACGTTTGGCAAATCCTCACTGTCATCAACTCCTGCCCGGAAACCTACGTCCCCAATGGAAGGATGTGCGGATCCAGAATTGGCCTCCACGGGCAAAGGTAAAGGACCCCTGGACGGTTAAGTCCAGTCAAAGGCGACTATGGGGTTGCGGCGCTCATCTCGCTTCAGGCTGAGGGAGCCGGTGTTTGTTCACAAACAGCTTTCCGTGTCATCTGGCCAGCATGACTAAACCGCTTCTGGTTCAACGGGACACTGTGATGGAAACCAGAGCTCACAGGAAGGCCGTTTACCTTCCCGCCACAGCGGTACCTATTTACCTACTTGCACTGGCATGCATTCATACTACTAGGTTGGCAGGAGCTGGGAAAGAGCAACGGGAGCTCACTCCATTGCGGGGATTCGAACCGCCGACCTTCTGATCGGCAAGCCCAAGAGGCTTCATGGCTTAGACCACAGTGCCACCTGCGTCCCTTGGCCTCCACAGTCACCTGTGGACTCACTGTTAAGACCATATTCATGGAAGACAATCTTATTCAGCTACAAAGTAAGAGGAAGACAGTATAATCTACTTTGCAAGTAGAGCAGTTACCCAACTATTCAAAAAGCTTCTGTTAAGTCACCCATCCAGCTTAATTTCCTTCATCTGGGAAAAGAAATGAAGTAACCTTACAATGCTGTGTAGGTGAGGTCACCTACCCTGCAATTAGCCCAATAGTTCACAGCAACTTCCTGCAGCGGCAGTGAGTCACATAGGCTGAATTGAACCTTTGTGAATGGCAAGCTGAGACAGTTGCACTCCAGTGGTGGAGTCTTTGCCACCTAATCATTCTGGAAATGGAGACCATTAGGCACCAAAACAACAGTCAAACACTTAGTTAACAACAGATGCAATTCTAGTCTTCCATATTTAGAAAACACCTCAAGACCCCCTGGGAAGAATCACACGTCCTTAATGGTGTAACCTGGTTTTGCAAAAACTGCAATTTCAGCAACACAGAATTTCAAGAAATTTGTACTGTTTTACTTAAACCCGAATGTGATTTCATGAGCCAAATTATGGCAGGAGTGCTTTAGCCATACACCGCTAATGTGATTTTGACCACTGTGATAAGCCTGCCAAAATGACAAGGACAAATGCTCTTAATTGTTTATACCTTTGCCATACTTAAAGGTAGCTGGCAAAAGCTTTGGTTAAATACTGTGTGTGTATATGTGTGTGTGTGTGTGTGTGTGTGTGTGTGTGTGTATATATATATATATATATATATATATATATAAAAGTACCTAAAAGGGACCAAACTATACGCTCATTAAAATATGCTGAGCATTTCACATGGCGTTCTTTTCACCCTTGCCAGAGGTTTGGATACTACATTCTGCAACATATTTATTCCATTTATGCAGTAAGTATTTGGCCTTTATTCAAACCCACGTAATTTACTGAACAGTACTCCACCACAGAATGTCATTTGAAAGCTCTAGAAATTTATTCAGAATTAAAAGGCAGTTACCATTGTGTGAATACACTGTTTTGGTGGTTGTT